CAGATCACATAGCACAATCATAAAATCACTCACTGTTACCCAACACAACATTCACCCCCGACAACCCAGAAAATGTCAGACAATGTCTCCATCTTACACTTGCAAGTAGAGCGATTAACTTTTTCCCTGCCTTTACATTAAGGACAAGAATTTAAACTCTAATTAATAAGTTGAAAAATATTGCCTTTCTCCTAATCACAAGGTATTCAGAAACAGCTGCCAGCTTTCCCAAATTTATTTGTGGCTTGAAGCTATTTCCTTTGGATTTCTCAAACACCATTTGTGATGACTATTCATGAGAAGCTCATTGCAAGTAGCCATTCTTCTAGCTGACAGCATTTTGCAGGTGAAACTTTAGAAAGGATTTGGGCAGCTGGGGAATCATATTTTAGTAATTTGAAATAATCTACTGGTACCAAATGTGTCTAACTGCTTCAGGTGAAATATAATAAAACCAGAAAATTTTTCAATGAGTTAGTTATTTTGTCAAATTAAAAAGTTGAAGCTTAACATCTGAAATCTCTTTTGAAATGTATTCAGTCCCCTACCCTCCAAAATAATACTTTACATGGCAGAGTGAAAAGTTCCATTTGATTTACCTATTTCTTTAAACTTTTGGGGGAAGGGGAAAGGAGATCTCAGAAATTCATCTCAATTCTTCCTTGCTATAAGCTTTTGCCAACATGCAACAAAAATAAATTATTTGCATAAACAGCTAAATACTGGGGTGATGGGGTTTTCTCCTCTAATGGTAAAGATAGTCTGAAATTTGCTTTTGAAACTCTGAGGAAGAAAGAGAGAGGAAGGAGTGCAAAATTATTTCAGAAAATGTTTGAAACTGGGGCTTGTTTTATTCTCTAACTCAAAAGCAGATGAGTGTTTGTTCATGTTTCTCTCACATGGTTTTGAGTTATATCCCAGCTACTCCTGTGGTTACATCATGTGTACTCATAGCACCTAAAAATTACTGCAGGAATATACAGAAGCCTGTTTTTTTCTTCCATTCTAGTCAGACAGTAAAGGGTGGAAAATGCTAGTCATGCCTTCCGTTGTGCCTCAGTAAAATGCAACAGGACCAGAGTTGCATGGCTAAACTTCCAGGCTGAAGAGCAAGGAGGGTGTATGTCCCTGTCCTGCCAGGGACAGGACTCCTGAACACTCACCAACACACAGTTCCATTTTCTGTATAACAGTTGGACCACGGTGGAGAGGAAATACATTTACAAGTCACCCATGGCCTTTAGTGGCCAACCCAAGAGACGGCAGCCTGGCTATTCAGCGGTTTATCCAACCATGCTGCTGAACTCAACTGTAGTAGGGTCACCTGCATCTCTGAACTCTCAGTGCCCCCAGATATGTATCAAAATGACTGGCTAATATTGAAACTTCAAGCCTACAAGAAAAGCCTTAGAAAAGTGGTAGGTATGTGTAGGAATAACCTCTCGTTGTTAATATTAAACTACGCCTACATTTATATGCAGAATCTACACTTTTTGTCTCCTAAGAGTGGGAAATAATGCTGTAGATCGCAGCAAGTACTACAACAAAGCTGCTGTCAAGAAATATCTGATTTTAATTGAAATGACGCTCCATTCTCCAACAGCTCCGGGCAATGCCACCGTAGTAGGAGTTGGGAGATGAGACGTAGGTGGGATGCCCGCCCTCACTGCACGCTAGGCCACCTTCTGTGATGAGCCACATCCTGCCCCACGTCTTCTCCTGACCAGTAGGTATTGACAACGAGCCCCTAGCAGTTTCTCTCTGCGATAGAAAAGATGGTGCAGTCTGTGTAATATTTCATTTCTGTTTCAAAAAAATTTAACTCTAGAAATCAGGGGGAAAATGACACTGAGAGAAGGGGAGAGTAAGAGGAGCCACTTCCAGAAGCTGGAATTGTTGGGTCGTGCAAAACTCTGCAATTTCAAATTTTGTTCTCAAACTGAAATGAAACACTGAATGACTATTTCTACATGAAAGCTTTTTTCTTTTGCAAATTTCTCCCTTGGCCTATCAAAAACTTAAAAAAAAAAAAAAAAAAGGAGGAAGAATATAATCAAGCAAAGTCTGAGGAAAAAAAAGCTAGCAACAGAGCTGATAAAAGTTGAAATATTACATTCAAAAAATGGTAAAATGAAATGTCATAACACCACCAAAACCTTTTAACCTTTTCACTTCAAAGAAAAATTGAAAAACCAATGAACTGATACTAAATTTATATTTTGTTGAAATAGCATTTTTATTGGAAAAGCACTTTTTATTGGAAAATGTTGAACCAGCTGCTAAGAACTTTATCTACAGATTACTTGGAAGAAAAAAATATTCCATTTTGTATTGTTCACATTCAAAAATAAGTGACACTGTACATACTAAGTTCTGACATACTTACGTTATTTCTGTGTAAGTCTCCATTGATGCATAGCCAGCTTATTCTATGCCATAAAATACAGCAAGTTTCCTATTTAGTTTTGAGTTACTTTATCCTGTAAGTTAATAACTGGTTCAGGACTGAGAAATCTTCTGCAAGCCCAAAATGGCTTAAGCCCAGCAGATTGATGCGGATGGAGCCTTTTTTTATTTATTCCGGAGGAAATATTTTTTCGATTATATCAACATAGCTGTGGTCCTTTACATTCCTGTTACATCCCCTGAGAATTTCAGAGTATTACCCATATTTTATGAGTGGTTTTAAGCTTCTGGATACTTTTGAAAGGAATATTCATCTTCACAAAAATCGCTTGCCAGTTGCTAGCAAGCTAATAGACACCATTCTTCAAAGAAGCCTGAAAAATTTAGGCAAGTATTTTTCTTGAAACAAAGAGAGAGGTATAAAAACACTTCACATAAGAATTTACTGCAAATAAACCTTACTAAGCTTTTAAGCCTAGCAGGATTTAATCTGATAAAGGTTTACAAAATTCCGCAGGGCAAAATACATAGGAGTAACACATCAAGGTAGAGGCATTAGTACTTGCAAGAAAAGAGGGAGTAGTAGCGAGTAGCACTTGTCAGAAATGAACTGCCCGTCAATTCATTAAAGAAATAGCATTTCTGGCACTGGTCCTAGAGCTGCTTTCTAGCATTGTTCTAGGGTTGGAGCATGATAAAAATTCACCTTTTCCAGCACTGCCCTTACAACGGCATCTAGCCATCCTCTTCACAGCCTGCTTGGCAAGCCTAAGAGACACTCAACTCCTTAGCTCATGTTGTCCCTCAGCAGTTTGTCTCTCCAAGGCTTCCCAGATCCTCGCTCTCAATCCAGCCAACTGATAAAACTGAGAACAGGGCTTGGGACCCTGGGAACCACCAGAGTTCCCGAGACCGTGATTGCTCTCTAACCAGCATTTACCTCTCTGAAGGAGCCCATCCAGTACTCCGCTCTTTTCTGCGAGGGGAGGTAGGACAGACACCACTATGGCCAGGCAGAGTGCTAGGTTTTAATCCAAAGAAAACAAAACCCAAAATCCCAAATTGATCACAAAATAGCGACCTCCCTGTACCAGCCTAGGTGGGGCTTTTCTGAAATGCTGGAAAGGATGTGCACATTTCAAGCAGTTGCAGCCAGTATCTTTGTGTGGTACAAAGTTCACAGCTCTGCCAAGGATTTCAGTTTTCTCCAATAAACAGTGGAATATTGTTGCAACAAATCATACTAATCATCATAAAAGATTTACAGCTGCTACTTTGCAACACACCATAAACTTTCTACCGGTCTCAAAGGCAAGGAGAGAAATTCCCCCCAGCCAGGCAGCCCCTTTCCAGCTGTACTGCAGGAAAAAACACTCGCCGTGCACGTTTCAGCATCTACTTGTTTGTTGAGCTTGCAGGGCCACAGCAGCTGGGGAGCAGCTTCAGGGAGGCAGAGGTCCATTAACCAGTTCATTGCAACAGGCACAGCCCAGTGACATGACAGCAGACTTGCAACCTAAACAAGACACAGCTGTGACACCACTCCTCAGGATAATGTCTTAACACAGAAAGTGGCTGTTCCCCTCTCCTCTTCTCTACACTGCCATTTCCCTTCATTCTTTCTCCACTAAAAGGAACTCATTCAAAGTCATAACTCTGTTGTTGAGATCTGGAAACTATTTAAAAAAAAACCCACAAACCAACAACCACCTTTTTGATGTTTTATTTGCTGGATGAGTTTAACAAAGACTCTGCTACATGTTTAACTGAAACAGCAACAAATGAAAAGCCCGGTGTGAATGACTCAACACTGACTGGGAGGCTTAATAAATACCTACACCTTTAATTTGAGACATTAAAGTAACATGAAAATCAATTAATACATCCAGATGTTTCGCTTTCTTTAAATGTGTAGCCACACAAAACATCTCTCCTTCCACATACAAAATTCAATATAATAAACTCATTATTTAACATCAGTTCATATACTAATTAAAAACAGAAGAAGCCTAGATCAGTATTACAAATTCCCAGCACTCAAAAACTCTGCACTTAACCCAAAACACCTCTGCTGAAAAACAAACCACTTCTAATATTCAAAACACAGCAAAAATCAACAAAGTCAAGTTGTCGGCTTCTGTTACCAGACTCACATTGCTTGCCACCAATAAACTTCATTAACTTGGAAGTAACTTGGACACCTTCACACAAAGCACTGTCACACTTTAGCTAACAGATCTGAACTGAAGCAATCCTAGATGAGGGATCATGCTCCCAGTGAGTGTGATCACTGACTAAAATGCAGAAATCACCTTCTTAAAACAGCCAGAACCTAGCATTTTGAAAATCAAGACCGGTGGCCCAATCTCATCCCTTGTGTACATCTGCACACCTGAAAAGTGGCCAGGGAAATATTAACATGCACACAAACATTTTACAATTTTCAGAACATAGAAGTAAAAAAGCAGAGGAGACCATTTTGTATTGAGAAATGAAGATAAAATTTCTTGACAAGCCTATTCATACTCACTTGTACCATGTTACCATTTAGTATATTAATACTTAAAATGAAAAGACAAATAAAAGTTACTAACCTGTGGGAAGAGAGAGTAAGTTGCATTGTCAATAGTGACAGAATACAAAAATTCCCCATCAAACCAGAGGTTCTTTCCCATTGGGGAGTTCAGCTTTGTCATAGCAAAGAGCTGCCCAGGATCACAGCATTCTTCCAGCAGTTTCCTAGTGAAGCCAACCAAAAGAGAAAGAGCCGTATTAATTAGAGCCTTGGCATGCCTTCTCGAACAACTACCCCTCACACCTGAGATCCTGCTGCTCTCAGGTGCTCCAAATCAAGGCATTCATCTTCCCAGCCAGCGGATGAACCATGGGTGAATTCTTCTTTACTTACAGAATGGCCAAAAAACCTGATTTTATTTCAGAAAATCTTAGAAATGGACAGTAAAAATTTTCAACCTCCATTCACGTTTGAGTGGCATAGGAAGATTCAGCAAAAGAAACTCCACCCTTTAAAACCCATTCTAATGAATAAAAAACTGGTCTCCAACACATACAGAAATCACAGAAGCTCCTCTGAAAATTAAATCGGAGGTATATGAAAATTCAGTATCAAACCTTATTCATGAAGAGCAGGCCTCCTAAAACCCTACAGTTACAAAACTTAAGTATGGAGAAATTTGGCATCTCTCTCTAGTTACTAAACATCCTTGTGCTACATTCACAGCAGTATTAGAGCCTGCATTCTGACTGAAGTCCAAGTTGAGTCAACCCAGTATGATTGTGTGTGTGTGTGTATATATATATATATATATAGGATATTATACTTGTTTTCTCGCCGAAACTACGTATCCTCTTACACATTCATTTCCCCCAAATCCTTATTACTCAGCTTGAGCAGGAATCTGAGAGCTGGTGAGGTGGTTGAAGGTTGTATTCAGCAACAATTCTGTATCACAGCAAACTCAGCAATTAATATCCTAAAATACAGAATGATGAAAAGTTCTAGACATCTGCAGGGCAGGAATATCCTATCTTCCCGAAGCCCGCATGGGAGTAGCTCTCTATAGGAAGGGTGATGCTCATATTAGGTTTTATATGTAATAGATGTATGTAAAATATACATTGCAGAGTTACGTCATTACAGTATATTAATATATTATTATATACATTTATCAGTTATTTTAAAGGGAATCCTAACGAGACTGATGCCATTTCCAGTGGCTCTGCAAGAGTTGCAAGTGACAGGCAGAAAAACATCAGTTATTAGTGACTACTAAGATGCTCGATACAGCTGTTCTTCCTCTATGAAGTCATTCAGAGAAATGTTTAAAAATTTTTAGCATTTTTTAAAGTTTTATAGCTACTTTTCTTCTCTAAAAATTGATATTTTATAAAAATCACTGTTTTTCCCTATCAAAAATTGATTTTACTGTAAGTTAATAGTTTTCTGCAACCGTGGGAATACTACTTTCCATACATATGTCAGCTGAAAATTTGATGAAAACCGTAGAGTGGATTTGTTGTAATCTTAGCAGAAAAGGAAACAGCTTGAAAATGTTGCATGGCAAACAGAAAACCTAGAGGTGCCAGTGCTATCCGTTAGCTTTCCCTACGAGGGAAGTTCAGTGATTTGCTCCATTCCACTCCAGGGCAGCGCTGCCCCTACGGACACCCTGGGCCCCTGGGACACTTCCTCACGCGGAGGAAGGCTCCCAAGGGACAGCAAGGATGCAAGCACCGGGAAGCTGGATTGAGGGCAGGAGGTCCACTCCACTCCTCAAACAGGCACCCAAGAGTAGCCTTTGCACATGACATGCAGGCAGATTAAATTGTTAAAAGGAAGAAAATTACACAAGGTAACTGGATATCACATTTGTAAGTCAAGAGTCAGCTTCTATGAAGAGCCGCAAGGTAAGCTCTCCCCAGTAATAGGCTGAGCAGCTCCTCTGTACCCACAGGCAAAGAGGGGAGTGATTTTTACAAGGACTCAATCAGAAGCTTATGACAGGGTGCTTCATGGCTCAAAATTTCAGTATTTTGTCCATCTGACCCTACGGTGCTGCACTGCAGAGCATGAGGTTCCACCAAATATCCAGACCTTACATTGTGAGGGTACGGGGCTCATGACCGCAGAGCACGCTGCTGCTCAGACTGAAGTGCTATGAGCACTAACTTGTTTCCGTGTGCTTTCTTCATATACACCTGAACTCCTCCATCTGTATAAACAAGTATTTCAGAAAAGATATAAATCACTGTGCTCGGGTGCATAAGTCAACCCCAAATTAAGGAAGTCTAGGACAAAACCGTGTCCAGTTCTAGACCCCACAATTCAGGAAAGACGCAGACAGACTGGAGATGGTCCAAAGGAGGGCCACGACGATGATCAAAGGGCTGGAAAACCTGCCTTATGAGGAAGGACTTCAGAAGTTAGATCTTTCCTCCCTGGAGAAGACAAGACTCAGGGGGGACCTCATCACAGTCTTCCAGTATTTGAAGGGCAGTTGCAAAGCAGATAGAGGCTCTCTCTTCACAAGGAGCCACATGGAGAAGATAAGGGGCAATGGGTACAAGTTGCACTGGGAGAGGTTTTTGTCTCGATAGAAGAAAGAAATTTTTTACAGTGAGAACAATCATTCCCTGGAACAACTTCCCCAGGGATATGGCAAAGTCGCCATCTCTGGAGGCTTTCAAGACACAATTGGACAAGGTGCTAGATAATCTCATCTAGGCTCCATTTCCCACGAAAGGCTGGACCAGGTGATCATTCGAGGTCCCTTCCCACCTTGGCGGTTCTGTGATTCTGGAACTGTTTTCCCTTAGGCTGCCTGTGGCAGAGCTGGTTTGTTCTCCCTCTGAGCAGAACAGAGCAATGTGTTAGCCAGAGCAGCATTTCCCGTTCCTAGAAACACCAATAGGTCTGCTTATACCCACCACAGAAATGCTTCACATCATCCTCCCGCTGATGCCCAAATAAAGCCTTCATCACAGAACTGTGAAAATCAAACTAGAGGAAATTTGAAATCCCTCGCCAAATAACCCTTGCAAAACAGTTTAAGACAGATATGGAATATTGTTCCAAATAAAAGATTTGAGAGTGGAGATTTTTCTGGCTGTCCACAAACTCCAGTTTGCAGCCTTTAAAAAATTATTTCTCTCTCTGTCAAGTGGAAAGAAAATTTTTGCCTACTTTTCCCCTCCTTTTCTTTGTATTTTCTATACCCACAGCAATGTTTTCAAGAAAGCATAAGGTAATCCAAGATCAGCTAGAGCCTCAACTCTACACATAGTTGTTTGTTATACAACTGTATAACAAAATTAAAATTTCCAAGTGAAACCCTGCAACTTATACCTTCTCTGGAAGTCTGGTCTGAGCAAGAAGCACAAAAATAACAGATAACTCAGTGGAAAAGTATCTAGGGAATGTTTTATATTAATGAATCTTTCCTTAGCCAGAGTAAACTGATGAGCTAAGGAACAGCTCTTTGTACAATTCCCCCCTCACCCCTTCCATCTATTAGACTAGATATATATACCTATTCTTTCCCCTCCCCAAAAATGCATTCTTCTGGTTCCCATGGAATCCTTCATTAATAAACATATTACAAAAAGCAGTAGGTGCCTCCTCGAAGGTCCACAGATAGGCAGGTCGCTAGTTCAAGTATGCATCTGTATGTATTAGCACAAAAATCTTGTGCACTCACATGTGCTTTCTGTCAGAAAAGAATAATTATTAAAAGTCTCACATTATTCAGTCTCTCTTTCTAATCCAAATCCCAAAATTACAAAGTGAGAAAAGCTCCATAGGAAAATGTGCATTAAAAGCAGAATGGATTCCAAGGCGAACCTAAAGCAGGGCACCTTGCAGGATCGGGGAGTTCGAACTGATTTGCTGAGCTTGATTAAAATGTACAGCTAAAATGTTATCATAGAATTTGCAAAACTGCAGCAGCTTTTAGCCAAGGATTTTAATTCACTGCAAGCATTCCTTCCCTTGCAGGATGTAAATAATACACCTTTAATTCAAAGTTATCTCCAATTCAGAGGAGACCTGTGTATGAGAGGAATTAAACAACTTGGATATTGGTATTGAAAAGGTACCAGGGGCCCTCAGATCTGAGAGCACTTAATGGATAAATCCCTAATTGTGGGAGAGGCAGGAGAAAAGTTACTTTGAGAATCTCACTACAGGCCTCTCAGATTTCAGCCAGAACTGGGCACCAAGCAGGTCATTAACTACAAGGCAGCATTAGCACTGAAGTGGTTCTGCGCATCAACTCAAGCAGCAACCTGTGCACAAGGTGGGAGCTGAGCAGCAGTTTTGAGACATTAGCCATATCCCCGCGGTACACTTTGCTGAGGTTATACCAGCAAACATTGCACACTGAAAGAAGAAGAGTGAAATAGCTGGTGCCAAGGATCCTACATCCACATTACCTTATTTTCATGGGATTTACTGCAGACCAGCTCTGGTCTGATTCCACAAAAAGCCTGTGAGTGGCTGTAGCATATTGAGTGCATTACTGAAGTGCAGAAACCGGGGACGATCTGGATATTTGCCTCAAAAGCCAACTTATGACCAAAGGGCTAATACTGGTGCACCTTCCTCCACCCAAAAGCAGAGAGGCAGCCAGACATCCTTGCAAAGCCTAAACCTAAATTCATACATAAAGTCAGTGAAAGAGCTTGCATAACAATCCCAATCTACTTATTCTTCATCTTGAGTTAATGAACTTTTCAGTTTGATTTCGGTTTGCAGCCAGTTAATGCTTAATCTCACCCTGGTTTGACTCGAGTCCCAGGCAATAATGACTCAGTAGCTGGTTCAAACATCCCAAATGGCTTAAAACTGGCAAATATAACATCTAAAATCAGAAATGGGCAATTCCACAGCATGGGTTGTCAGCCAGGAGGTTACAGCCCTTTAGGTATCTCTTCTCCGCAGGTGGAGCAGGTCCTGCCTCCCCAGCACACCAGCACTTCTCCAGCTCTCTGCCATGCCTGCCTTGTGATGCTGCACTACACGAAGCACGTAAGCCCTGCCAACACTGTGAAAGGGAGGGGGAGCAAAATTCTTCCTCTCAAATTTTTCCTTTTAATCCCATGCAAGCGGGATGTAGTACATCAATGAGGAAAAGATCAGGTTGATGGGAAGCCACCTGTCAGGCAGCAGCAACAGGAGGGCAGCTTCATGAAGGACTGAAGGCTTATGCCCGATCTTAAAT